TGAAGCTATTGGTAAAGGAAATGAATGAGGCCTCTTGCTACTTGGTTTGAAGTTTACTACACCAAATGAGGGGAAAATCCAAACAACATTTACTTGGATGAAATTCTCTGAAGATAATCCACTGGAGACAATCGAGAATGGTAGCGAGCAACGGATGGTGTTTAGAAGCAAAATGCTTGCGGAAAATGGTTTCAATGAAATGGGCAACTTGTCTCTCGTTGTAGATGAGCCTTTTGAGTACAGCGACTACCCTACCAACTATATGACTCTTTTGCAGCATGCTATTCATTTATATGAGAACAACACAAACAGTGACTTAGCAAAAGGTTACAACTAGACCTCAGAATCAAGTTTCGAATTTTAGCTTTTGCAGTTGTAGTTAGAGTAGTAAGAATAAATTTTAATGCTGTGTTTAGTGCTATTTCAAACCTTCAGGTGCACTTTTATGCACATGAATTATGTAATTGCAACTCTGTTTCAAATGAATCTGTATTTTTAATTAACTAAGGAAGCACTTCATTATAATTGGCAAAATACCGTTGATTAGAAATATGATTAGCATACACTAGTCTGCAACAAAATATTTAGGATATACTGGTTCGAAACAAAATAAGTTACTGGTTTGCAGCAAAATAAGCAATACCCTTACGACTTTTTCAACAACAGGTATTTTTGCACATCAGACACATTTTCCTACAACTAGCAACTGATTTGAGATTGACAAGGGTTAAATCGGTCGCTACAATCTAACTCTCAATCAAACAATACTTATACGAACACCCTATAACCAAGTACAATGGCAAATAAAAGGTTCGGTCCACGAGGAACGAGAGTAATTGCAAATCAATCTTAAACCTAAGCTAGTTCGAAATCAATGGAAAATGGTGTTCTAAAATACTACTAAAAAGATGGAATAAATCAATAAACGAAGACACTAGGGAGAACGGGAATTCACCAAACCATCGGTAACTACGCAACAAGGAATCATAGAGACAAACGGGATATGCAAAGACTATATGTCTGATCAATATCGTGCGATAGGAAGACAACGGGCAATACTAACCTTGGATTTCTCATGCACTCAACATTACTCGATACATAATCAAACCACATTCAATAATGAAATACTCAATTCACAATCTCTTGTTCAAACCAAGAATAACATGCAATCAAATTCAAGATTCTAGGTTAGCTACTCCTATTATAGTGAATTAACATGCAATCGCATATAATCAATTTAATCACAATCCGTTTAACAAAATCAAACCTTAATTACGTAGATTACCTAGGCCGGGTTTCATCCCGAAACCCTAGCTAGGAAACTACTCACACATATTCATAATCACAACAATAATAGATTCCATAAACATCATAGATCTAAACATAAATTCTGATTAAGGAATAATAAAGCTAGATTAATAAACAAGAATGAATAATACCAATTGTATTGATGCGAATCAATGGAAAAGTTTAGAATTTTAATATCCGTCGTCAATGGATAATACAAAGAATCTTCACAAATCTTGCTTCAAATCAATCCAAGAAAACTAAAATCACTAGAATAATCTTTAAGAAAACTAATGAATCTCTAATACTAAGAACGTTCTCCAATAGCTCTCTCCAAAGGCTCTCAAAAACTATCTCTAAAACTCTCTTAACCCTTACAATCGGGCTATATATATGTGTTTTAAATCGGAAAGTAAATCGCAGGCTGCCCTTCGTAAATCAGCACGGCCGTGCTAGAAGTGGCACGGCCGTGCAAGCATGGCAGAAGCTAATCCGCAATATCTTCAATTTTGACACGGTCGTGCTAAATTTGGCACGGTCGTGCTAATGCCTGGCACGGCCGTGCTGAATCTGGCACTGGCACGGGCATGGAAATTGGCTCGGCACGGCTGTGCTAATGCCTGGCACGGCCGTGCAGCATAGGTAGGAAGGTTGCAGGCACTTTGGTCTTCTTAAAACAGTCACAACTTCTTATCCAGAGCTCCGTTTGAGGCATGCAATATATCTTGGGAAAGCTCTTCAAGTCTACTTTCCAATGCAATTAAAATCACTCCATTATCATTTGTATATAGAAAGTTATGAGAAAAATAGTGAACAGGTGTCATATTTGTGAACTGTTCTGCCTTGCCTGCTACTTAACTTGCCTTTCAAGGCCTTGAAAACCGCAGCAAAGCCTTAGCTTAGTGGACTAGGATCGATAATAGCCTGATTACGCACCAATGGTTTGGGACTCGACATAACTTGGTCAACTATACCTGTTAACACACCAAAAACAGACCGAAACCCGTGAAGCACGTAATATGAAGGAAACGAGTGTAACAAGGCAATAAACGACCAAAACGGGCCTAAATACATCCAAAATCACCCATTTATATGCCTTAAAGCGCGCCCTAGTGTGCGCTTGTCAGAGATCCAGTCCTTTTGGTGCCTCGACGTTCTTTTAGCAAGATATCAGTCTCCAAGGTTGCCTTCACCTCATTGAAATCGTTGTTAACATCTTGGAGAAACAAATTTGTCCTCAACGTGGATATCTTGTCCTGCCAAAAATCATAACATGAATGGGTAACTATGTTTGAGAAAAAAAAAGTTCAAATCAAACACACCAATTCCAGTTCAGCAAACCAAGCAAAAATTGAAGACTCACCATGTGAAAGGCTGCCTCAAAGCTGCGGGCGCAATGTTTCACACTTGCTAGCATAATGGCACCGCAAGAACACCTAATAAGAATTACCATCAGCATTAACAAAGTCAGTCCCTTCTTTTCACCTAAATTTAAACAGTGACTATAATTCCATATATAGTAGAATTTATTACTCACGTGTCGGACTGTTTTGTTTGGTTTCGCGGTGTCCAACACCGCGCGGAAGGAAACCCGCCCAATGATCCATGCATAAATTAAAGCAACTAAACATGCATGCAAATAATTAAACACATAATTAATAACAAGAAGAGAGAGAAAATGCTCACCCTAGAAGCGTGCTTTGCTCAATTGTTGAGCTCTTACTTGAAAGCTTCAAGTTCCGCAGTGCGAGAACCTCCGACGGCTCACACCCTCGCTACCGAACCGTGACCGCCCCCTACCCCAAAACTTAGTCGGGCTAGACCAAAATAACTTAGAGTTCACAAACAAAGATTTTCTCGCTTTTGGAGATCCCTTAGAGTTCACCAACTCAAGTGAATTTCCCAATATCCAATGATTGGTATTTATAGGGAAATGTTCCCAAGAATTTCCATCATCTTTCAATGTGGGATAGTTGGTAAAAAGGAAAAAAAAAAAGGATTTAATTTAATTCTAAATTAAATTAAAAGCCATGAAACAATAATTAAATGACAAGTGTCATCACACAAAGAGGGAGTAGGTGGGAGGACCACCTTGACCTTGAAGAACAAGGCAAGGGCTGCCCCCACCCACTTTGGTTAACTCGGGCAGCTACCCGACCTTGTGGTGCTAGGCTGGCCTGCTGGACTTTGCCGGAAGCCCACGCACATGGTAGCAGGCTCATGCGCCTACCGCAAGCAAGCAGCAGCAACAGCACAGGCCCAGCAGCAGCGTTGCAAGCTCCGACTGCTTGCTGGCCTTGTTGGGCAAGCTCGACTAAGGTTGCCATAGTGCGCAAGCCCATCAGGCCACCCCAGCCAGCCCGCACGCAACGGTCAGCCTAGATGAGCCTTGCGATGGGTGTGGTGGCTTGGTGCTTTGGTGCTTGCGGCCCCTAGTCACTTGCCCTCAACTCGAGGCGTGGCTAGGGCTCGTGCTATCCTTGTAATTTTAGCACGATACGTCATTTGATTAGTTTTCTCGTCTTCGTCGATTTCTAAAATGGACTCGATGCATGACGCTCGGTTTCGACGCTCTAAGCTCGGAATCCGACGTCTTTGTTCGTAAAATCTCTATCGACATATTTAATCTTTTGGATTAATCCGTCGCTTCGGTTCGGTTACACGATTGGGTGTGACTCGAAGTGTTCAGTCAAGATTAAGCTGTAATATTAATTATAAATAAATATTATTGATCAGAAGTGGCCTCCGACAAGGCATTCCGATCACTTGACCTCACTGAATGATTAGTTTTCTAATTAATTTCGAACCCTCTATTGAAATAATACACTTGTTCGAAGGACACAAATCCTTTCATGTTTCACCTGAAACACCCTCCTTAACCAATTGTTAATTGTTCCCACCACCCAGTTAGGATCACTTACCTGTAGCAACTCCTCCAACACCTTCAACTACATCACCATGCACATTACCAATTTTCATAAATAAATAAATCTAGGAACACCAACTTTAATAAAGAATATATAAAGAGGTCCCTGAACAAAACAGAGAGATTACCAGCTTATCAACAATGGACTCATGTTTCGAGAACGGATCATTGTACATAGAGTCAATCATCCAAATCATATGAGATTTTAAATCCAAAGCAAGGCAAACCCAGTGTTCTGCATTTTTCTCAGGAAGTAGTATAGGGACAAAACGTATGCCATGAAATGCATAAATAATTACCCCACTATTTTCATATTAAACAGTAATTGACAACAAATAAACCAGTACTGCACACATACACTTTGAATTTGATCGAGAGGATGGCTAAGCAAAGTCTTGCAGTATTTGTTCCCCAGCACTTTGTACTCGTCTTTCCCAACCATTACGAAATGATAACAAAAAAAATAACTGAGATTGCAAAAGCTTACAACATTTACAAACAAATAAAAGTCAATGGCGACCGTATAAGACGGATCAAAAAGAATCCTTTTCCTAGAATGTTGTGATGACCAAATTTTGGTATACAATACCGAAGCCATCCTAACATATTGATCTCCAACACAAGCCCTCGGGGAAACAAGAAGATAACAATCTCGTTGTGATGCATCAATCCCATCACATTCAATAAGGGATGGGCCAAGCCTGCGCAGTTAACTGGGATATCAACTTTTTAAATAAAAAAAGGAATTAATTTCTCAATCGGTGTCCCAACTTCAGTATAGGCTTACTCATTGTCGTTTTTCAATTCCTTCCACCCTTTAGCAAATGTGACAAGCCTCTTCTCATAAGCACCGAGCTTAAAAGTCCTAGGTTCTTCCTCCCTTATGGGTGACTTCACATTATCCCCCGAACATTCTTCATCCATTTTTTTGGAAGGTTTGGATTCCACCTTCGCATTGTGTGGTTTCTCCCTCGCTCCGGTACTCCCAGTGTTCAGTCGATGGCTTCCAGTTGTAAAAAAAAAAATCATCATCAGGTTGGTCATGGCCTATGCCAGTCATCTTTGCAACAAAACCACTGAATGCTTTTCCAACTATACCCTCGATAACGGTCTCCAGCTTTGGGGTCAGCTGTGCAATCACCTACAATGTTCAGAATTTTTTATCGAATTCAGTACCCTTTCACACAGTATAAAAGTTAGATTCAGACAACAAACAAACAATATTTGACGTTGTCCATCACATATGTCACCATAACATTCATTTTCTGGGTATCAGTCACTAGAGATACATTCCTTCCCACACAATCGGCATCCTTTGTTACAAGGGGATGCTCCTCACTGTACGCTATATCCAATGCCTACAAACAAATATTTCAAGTGAGCATGGAAACATATGAAAACACACCTATAGGGATTAGCAAATTAAAAACAACAACTGCACTTACCAATAACTTCCCATACTCGTCACGGGTCAGCTTGTCTTCCATAAGAGTCGCCCTTATTTCCAGTGAATTCCATATCTTCACCCTTGGGAACACTCCCCATTTCACAGGTTTCCGGTGCAGGTGATCTAGATAAAATATCTGGGACACCAATGTACAGATCATTTATTACAGAAGAATAAGTTAAAGCTATAAATGACAATTTTCAAAAAACAACGGCATAAACTTCTCATCACTGCCCAATGGACACAATACTATAGAAATAAATTTCAAAGATATTGTCTCATTCTTCTATCCCCTTCCATATGCACCGTACAGGATTTCACCAACATAATCTTTTGTTCATCATCTCCAACATCCATCGGAACTGGTTTCGAACCCATTGCAATGCCTAACACACACCTCACCTGGTTAGCACACATCAACAGATCGAATTTCACCTTCTCCAAAAACCATAGTCGCATCTTCACGTACCCTGGCCATTAGCCAATAACAAAACTGCCTAGGGATTTTATTCATATCCAACTCCAGCAAACCGCCAAAACCCATCCTCCTTACTAATCTTTCCTCTTTGGATCAAACGCGGAAACTGAAACACAAAATGACTCCACACGGCACATAATATTCGGACACTGCCATAATGTAAACAAAAAAATTAATCACTGCTCTTTTTAATATCACCTAACAACAACAACACAATTCAAATTCAAACCATTCCAACAAATACAACAACATTTAACAAAATAATTCAAACTAAGCCTAATAATGCAATTCAGCTGAGACACCTTACCTTGCCTACATTCTCATGGTGGGTCTTCAAAACCTCCCCTTTACTGAAAACCTTGTTCCCTTTAAGTTTGGGAACCTACATCATCATCGACATAAACACAATACACGCATTAAAACCAACAACAAAATTAGTTTCATGTACTGAGAACCAAATTATAAAAAAGTACCTTCTGGTTCCTGTAATGACTTCCTTCCCCTGTCACTTTCCTCTTCTGGGACTTCCTCTTTATGTACTCCATCATCATGTTCTCCACAAAACAAGAACTAGTCACTGACTAGCCTTCGTCATCGGATTTATTACTTTTCGCATCATCACCTTCGTCCTCAAACTCATCTACCTCTTCAAGATCCTCATCAATCATTTTCTGCTTAGCTTTGCCCTTCACTACCCTTCGACCGAACCTTTAAACCCCCATCCTTTTGGCCATGGGCCTTCACACCATTACCACACTTTGAAGGACCCTAGTACAAATAATAACCAACAATTACATACCAATGAATAATACTCCACTCCTTACATGACCAAATAACATAAATTGTTTGACAAATAAACTAACACTACTAAAAAAAATAACTCACCAATCCCTTCTTCCAGCTCATGGAACGCACCACTGTCTTCCTCATCTTCCCTTTGCAATTAAATAAACAAGTCAAACAACTAACCCTATTTCAGAATTTGATAAACACACGGACACCTATGCCTAATTCAATTTATATTCCCAACATAACATCAAACACAATATAAAACTGACCTGCAAACCTGAATTTGATAAACACTCAGACACCTATGCCTAAGTCAATATATACTCCCAACAAAACATCAAACACAATAAAAAAAAAATCACAATCACACGCTCCAATCGAAAACGCAGAGATAAACACACACAAACTCGATTAACAAAGCCTTTCAATCTCACCCTCAAATAATTTAATACATTTTACCAAAACATGAATTAAGCATGCTCCATCAAACATTAGGTAACCAAACCCTAATTCGTAGATTCACAAAGTGAGTACATTAATTCAACAAATTCAATAACCCAATTTATGCCAAAATAAAGTTTCAATTACAAAAATTCAATTACTACCAACAATTTTTTTCAACTACAACAATCATTTTACATTACCAAAAATCCTACATTCCATATCAATCTATTACCACATACCATTTTCGGTAACCAAATTCCAAACACAAAATTCAAACAAACAAGAATACACAAATAGTAGCATGATTTGCAAAAAAATATAACCTTTTTAAGCAAAATTTAAGCTTCACCTACTTTGGGTTGACCATAAATCGCGAATTCCTATTCCGACCTCTACAAGGTATAGCCCACGCAGACGCACCACCGCTAAAGGACGCGAAATTTACTTACTCTGAACAAGTAACAAGACTCCAAAATTCGAATGGAGAACGAGAAAAGACGACGACAGGAGAAGAGAGAGAACGATGAAGAACAAGAATGGAGGGAGGAGAGAGAAACTACAATAATAAAAAACAAATTTAGAGGGCACTTTTACCAAGCGAATAGACAATAAAAAAAACATTATATTTGTTTCAAATACAGAAACGGGATGTCATCTAGCAAAACGGGAGTGCTATTTTAGGGATTTTCAAAATTCTTGTTAAAAGACCAGCATACCCCTCGGCCCTCAGTTATGTATTTACCCATTCATCATCACAAACCTCCCTTTGAAAGGCCTCCTCAATTTGTGTTAGTTCGTCTAAGACTTCAACCTGTAAAAGGAGGTTAAGAAAATCAATCGCCCTGTAGTTTGCTGCTATAGTCAATTCCATCCGTCTTGATTCTTGAAGGATGCCGGTGAGAGTTTCCGAGAATTCTGTACCCTCGCAAATTCCAGGTATTCCCACATTTTCTACAATTCAATCTGCCTCAATTTCATTGTTCTCTAAATTTGTTTTGAACTTGTAATTTCGGCTCAATTATATTAATATTTATGTAATTTTGGGTTAATTATATTAATATTTATGTAATTTCGGCTCAATTATATTAATATTTATGTAATTTTGGGTCAATTTCTGTAGGTTCATGTTCTGAGCACACCTCTCCTCCACCTTGTACCTTACTTAGAGTTGGGCAGGTATTTTGATTGAACACTACTTTCATAATTTGTAATTAATTTTACGATTAATTATCTTGTTTTGATTGAACACTACTTTCATAATTTGTTAAATTGAATTTTGTGTTCAATTATGAATTCTGGGGTTTGGTTACATGAGCAATGAATTTCTACAAGATATATTCTGCAATGTTATCATATTAAGATCCTACTAGCATTACTGGACATATGGAGAACCTAAAGCTAGTGTGTATGTTTGTGTTTGAACAGAATCATGATATATTTCGTAGCGCTTATTATTGTTTTTGTTCTGTTATGATATTTTGTTGCTGTCTGGCTAGTGATTTATGTTTTCGTGCAATCGATATCTATTCTAAATCAGGGATTTGCCCCCCTTCAACTACCCATTTTTTACCTTGATTATGTTTGCATCATCTCTTGTTGCCTTCTATTCACTGAAATCTGACTATTTGGTTTAACAAAGTAATTCCTTCCTGAGTATGCTTCATCACGTTGAAGACTTAGTGCTCAAACAGCTGTTCCAGCTTCTTAAAAAAAGCTTTTCTGAAGCTTTGTTACCGAAATCTTCTGTAAATTGTTTGTTTTTTCAATGTTTTCCTATATGAGTAATTAGTAATTGTAGCTATGTGATATAAATGTGCAAATGACAATAAGAGGAAGGAAAAGTAGAATATAAGCAGTTAATTGACTTTAGATAAGCATTTCAATAAGATTTAACAGTTAAGTCATTTTAAAATGTTTGTATATGTAATTTTACGATATCATACGAAACACCTTGTTCCATTTGTGTTCTGTCCCCGCACCCGTGTCCAAATTAAGAGTGAAGGTCGTGTTAGATAATGATTATGTACCTGCACTTGACACTCGTCCCATGTTTCAATAATATAGGTTGGTTACATTTTCCTAGGCATACTCCTTAAGGCACTTAGCGTCTTGGTTAGGGATTAAGCAAAGTGAGTGGAGACCAGCCTCCACAACCCACATTCCTAATCCATATATTTTCTTAGCTGGCCTTCTTAGAAACTTGTACTATACAATTGCTTAGTTTTAAAAAGCGCGCCTAAGGCCCGCCTAGACGCAAGGCATAATGAAGCTTAAGAGTTGGCACCTTAGCTTTGTAAGGCTCAAAGACCTACAAAAGGTGCGCACCTTTGCACTTTTTTTCTAGGCTGCTTCTTGCGCCTTATGTTGTAAAACATCAATAGCTATTGTGTAAGTTAGTTTTTTCTATAAAACACCATGGGACTTTGTGATGGGCTGGTTAATTCATTTCTCGAGGAGAGAGAAATCCCATATCCCCCAATTCTATTTGAAGAACCCCTAACTATTGGTCACATGGCCCTTTCACCTTTTCACATAATTCCTATTTTACACTTATTAAATAGAAATTATTATTTCTTTTCTCTATAAATAAAATGTGCCTCACCTAGAGGTGACAATTCGGGTAAACAGGTCGGGTTAGTGTCGGGTCTGGTTAACTTGGGTCGGGTCAATACAGGTTAATGTCGTAACCTATGCGGGTCGGGCTCGGGTTGGGTCATGCTTAAATCAAGTCACGTCGAGTCATACATCTTATCGACTTTGGGTCGGGTTTAGGTCGGGTCAATATAAGGTCAGGTTACATTCGGGTCGGGTGAATAATAGGTCGAGTTTAATTCAGGTTTTCACGAGTTAAAGCGAATTAGGGTCATTTTCGGGCTCGAGTGAGATTTGGTTCAAGTCAATAATTTGCGGGTTATAATTAGGTCAGGTCATTCTCGGGTTCGAGTCGGGTTCGGTTCAAGTCAATAATTTCCGGGCTATAATCAGGTTGGGTCATTCTCAGGTTCGAGTCGGGTTCGGTTCAAGTCAATAATTTGCGAGTTATCATCTGGTCGAGTCATTTCCAATTCGGGTCATTTCCAATTCGGGTCATTCTCGGGTTCAAGTCGGGTTCAATTCAAGTCAATAATATGCGGGTTATAATGAGGTCGAGTAATTTCCAAGCTAATTATATCCTTTGACTATATAACAATATATATGGCAACATATTAGGGAACTATAGCCTATACTTTAGAAAGCTAATTATCTCCTTTGACTATACAACATATATATACTATATTTAAAATTTAAATTTGGGGATGATGCTTCTTTCTTTTGCTGGACCGACTTGGTCTCCCTACATCCAAGACAAAATACTTTGGTCAATATTAACATAGAGTAGTTTTAGCCTTACGAAGTTACGACTTTACGAGTAGCTTAGAGTATATTTAGCATATATTCTCTAATTATTGTATACATCTTTATTTAGCTAGTCACTATCTACAATAATTAAGATGTATACAATAATTAGAGTATATGCTAAATATATTCTAACAATTAGAAATGAGCAAATCGCTATAATTAGTCTAAGGAGTCGTATGTATTGAACTATTGACTATTGAAGTTATCATAGTAACTCGTTTGCACAAGCACACAAGTACACAACTACACAAGTGACAACATAACTATATAACTATATATTAATTAGGTTGTCTAAATTGAATTTAAGGTGACTTGAAATCGGCTCAGGTCAATAACAGGTTAGGTTGAGTTCGAAATGGGCTAGGAACAATTCGGGTTGAATTTGGGTCGGGTCAATAACAAGTCGTGTTGATTTCGGGTCGGAATAGTAACAGATCGGGTTGAATTTCGGGTCGGGTTAGTATAGGTCGAGTTAAATTTGGGTCGGGTTAGTAACAGGTCGGGTTAAATTTGGGTCGAGTTAGTAATAGGTTGGGTTAAATTCGAGTTTTGACGGGTAAAACGGGTTTAGGTCAATCTCGGTTCAAGTCGGGTTCGGCTAAGGTCAATAATTTACGAGGTATATTCACCGGGTCGGTTTATGTTCGGGTTCGGGTTTCAAATACTCGGGTTAACTTGGGTCTAGGGTTGGTTTCAAGTCGGATCATATCGTGTTCGGGTCACTATTTTTTCAGGTTCAAACAGGTCGGTTAATTATCGGGTTTGGGTAAATTTTTCGTGTCGGGTCAGCTTTTGACAGCTCTAGCCTCACCTACAAAAGGTGAGCGCCTTTGCCTTACGCTTAGGCTCAAAGGACTTTTTTGCCTTGGTGCGCCTTGCGCCTTTTAAAACTAAGTAAATCGCTAAAATTGTTGGTCTAGTAGGCTTAGTGGTAATTGGGCTTTTGAAAGCTTTTCAAGAATATGTGTTTGAATCAAACTCCTTTTTATTGTGTTTTAGGGGCCGTTTGGTTCATTGTATTGGAATAGATTGGTATGGAATCTCATATTAAGGAGGTGTGGATACAAATTCCGATATTAGATTAAAGTTGTTTGGTTTATTGTTGGAATGATTTATGTATCTCATTAAACAAATGGATTGTTATTCTTAAGGGGTGAGGTGAGCATGAATTTCTAGGGGGATGGGGTAGAGTTAGAACCCTGTTGCCCTCTTAGTATGAGGTTACATAGTTAAAAAGGCTAACTAAACAATAAAATCGATGGAATGAACACTAATTTCATTCAACCCATTCCAAAAGGTCCAACCAAACGGGCCCTTAGATGCTTCCTAGTACTTTTTATTAAGTTTTTTAGGATATAGATGCTATTATTATGTTATCGTCAATCCACTTGAAAACAATGTAATAACAAAATAAGGAGTAATGATTAACGAATGAGAATTAAAGCTTCCTACCCATTGCCTTGCTTTAATGCTTATATTTTGTTGCTGCCACTTGTTTTAAAGCTTCATTTTTTACAAGATAAAATCTTGTCTTTTTCTCGCTTGTTTTCCTTGGCAAAATTTGCATTTACAAGCTCAATCAACCCTTCCCCCTCTTGTTTCCAATCGGCAAGAGCACCTATCTCCCAAATGCTGTGCTCACAAGCCCCTTTCTGCACCTGGTTTGCTTCCTTGCCGCTAAGTAAGCAGGAGTGCGTCGCATAGTGTGACCATGACTATATGGCTAGGCCCCGAATTATCCATTTGCATGTTTTCTAGTTGCACAAATCTTTTCTTTGCTTGTTTCTTTTGTTATTTTCGTTATCTCCTTAATATAATGAGTTATCCCTTAACTCACCTAATGAATGAATCCCCTCTCACTAGCAAGTCAGATCTTCTCCACTCCTTCCTCTTAATGCCTTCATATAATCCGTTCATACACTCCTTTTGTCTTAATGACTTCATATCTCCCCTTCATTCTCTCTCTCTCTCTCTCCACTTTTCAAACAAGCAAGATATAAATCTATTGTGAAAGATTTTGGTTATGAAATATGTAGTTCAATGAGGATGATAAAGTCGCATTTGGTTGGCAGCAATAGTGATCTCTATTTTGCAACCAGTTCATAAAGTAGTAGTTGACTACTTGACTATCTCCCTAAACAGGGTAACATTCTTCTTAGATTACAAATTTGGATGGCCAAGATGAGTTATCTATTTGAAGATGTCTCATCATGAATTTTCATTCAATTGGCTGTCAAAATTCCTATTTATAAAGTATAACTAACTGTTACAAGAAAGTATAGTTTATAAAGTACAACTAACTGTTACAAGAAAGTATAGTTTATGCGTTTTCCAAATCGCTGCAAATTTACCCATCTTTAATTGTTTTGGCTATTGTGAGCAAAAAGGAGTCACAAGAGTGGAGGTCTTAAATTGAAACATCTTTATGAATCTTAGTTACTTAAGTATGAATGTCCAAAATTGAGTTTGTCCAAATGTAATTTTGTTTAACTTCATGTACCAAAACTAGACTTATGTTTATATCTGAGGTCTAGTTTTTCTATTTATTAAATAACAGTAACAGATTTTATAATTCAGCTTTGTTCTAGTATGACAAATAAAAGTGCAAACTAGGAATAATGTTTCTTTTCTTCAAAATGCAAGTGCTCTATTTGTTGGGACCTGAACTTTTGATTGTAGAAAGAATTAAAAAGAAGAGAGAATATGGAGCAGAGAAAGAGGAGGAGAGAAAATGAACGATGGGGAAGTGGGGAGAGAGAGAGAGAAGGAAAAAATAG